CCCCCCCCCCGCACCTCAACTGCTTAACGGCAGAGTAGCAAAGCGAGTTAAACCAGCCTTTCTGAGATAGCTATTGGCTTCTTATAATGCTCACGTGTCTTCAAAATCAGGACTTCAAACATATTTCATACAATTACTAATTTTGAATGTCTTCAAAATAGCTAGTATCTGAATTAATACTTGGCTAAATGACTTGGGTGTGAAGACTGTGGGCAGGCTGTACGAGTTATAGAGCCAATCAGGGCTAAAGTTAAGCGGGTACTACCTGGGCCTCCTTATCACCCCCCGCCTTCACGTTCACATGCAGGATGTAACGGCGGGGGACAGTAGTGAGTACGGCGACAGCGGCATCGACGGGGTCCTGGCCGACACGGAGAGGCGGTCACGCCGCTACAAAACCACGTCGGCTTCTTTCTCCTTGTGCTCAGCTGCGGCACGCAGCCTGTTCACCGGGGGAGACAAGGCCGCCACTCAGGGAGTGTATGAGAATTTCCAGCTGGAGCTGGAGAGGAGCACCTTCCACGCAGTGGAGTGCCCAGTGGAGGTGGGATCGAGTCCCAGCGACGAGAGGAGCGATGGCATCAGGGGTTGCTGTGCCTACCCGTCAGACCCGACGCTCGGCTCCGCCCACAGCATGGTGCGCAAGGCCGGAGCCCTCTCAGTTAAGAACTTCTTGGTGAACAAAAAGAACAAGAAAGTGGAACCAGCCGGACGACGCAGATGGAGGCGCTATTGGGTGTCCCTGAAAGGTTAGCTTAGCTCAGTATTTTTGTCATTGTCTGAATATTTTTAACAATGATGGAAAAATCTGAAGGCCATCCGTCATTTTGACAGATTAGAACACTGAGCACGATTTACCGTTGCTTTAAGTAATTCACAGCCCTGTGCAGTAGGTGGCGATTGAGCATGTTAATAAGCTGCTGTCTAGTCCTGTCTTTGATCTCACATGCATGACCTCGTGGGTTAGCCATGGCCATGTAGCGAAATGCAGCCAAATGTCTAATGTCCAAGGCAGCTAAATGTCTGAAGTTTTTTCTAAGAAGTTTTTAGTGGCCTCTGCTGAAAAATGACCCCGTCTGCGTAAATGCATAATCTATAAACTTGTTCTGTATATTAACTACTGAAAAAATGAAAATGAATGAATGAAAATTGAATGGCATTAAACATTAACATTAAGAATGAAAATGATAGATTATGACAGGATTTTTACGATTCTGTCCATCAAAATGACAGGCAGCCAAGGGCGTAACTTTGGTTTGAACAATAAGTATTCAACACGTCCACATTCTTTTTCATTAAACATATTTCCAGTTTAGGTATTCATACGAAACCAGATATTGGTATTAACTCAGTAAAATGACACAGCTAAAGAAATGATTGCATTCTACTACATAAAAAGTTATTTGCAATAAAATGGATTCCCTTTGATACAGGAAAAATTCATTGAACACCCTAACAGAAAGTTATTTAATAGTTAGTGGAGAAGTCTTTGTTTGCAATGACAGCTTCAAGACGCTTCCTTTAAGAAGACACTAGTCTCTAACACTGACCAGATGGGATTTTGGCCCATTCTTCTACATAGACAATCTTTAGATCTTAATGATTCCTGAGGGCCTGCTGGTGAATCTTGATCTTCAGTTCCTTCTTCAGATGTTCCCATTGGTTTTAGTGTGGTAATCACATTTAGTTTCTTCCTCTGGAATCATTTAAGAGTCTCCTTTGCAGAGTCTCCTTTGCAGAGTTTCTGTTGCATGTTCTGTCCTGCTGGAAGGTCCGCCTGCATCTCATCCTCATCATCCTGATGGATGGCAACAGATTCTTTTCAAGAATTTCCCTGCTCCATTCATCTCCCCTTTGATATTTTACCAAGAGAAACAGCCCATGCCATGATGCCTCCACCTGTGAACTTCACTGGCATACAGTATGTCATATGTAGTTCTTTTACTATGCTGAATACTTTTTTCCTGTGTCATTCCCCTTTATTACGGTGTCTGGCCTAAATTTCATGTTGATATCTGCATTGGAAATATTGTTAATGAAAAAAATACCCTTGTTAATGAAAAAAATATTGTTAATGAAAAAAATACCTAACTAAGCCCTGAAGGAGGCCTTCAGGGCTTAGTTAGCTTGTGGGACTCCAGAAGGTACTGGCAGGCCAAGCAGGAAGCGGCTCAGCAGGTTGCTGAGGCAAAAACTCGGGTATGGGAGGAGTTTGGTGAGGCCATGGAGCAGGACTTCCGGTTGGCCTCAAAAAGGTTCTGCAAAACCATCAGGTGACTCAGGAGGGGGAAGTAGGGCTTCACCAATGCAGCAGGGATGGAGAACCGTTGACTTCAACTGGGGATATAGTCGAGTGGTGGAAGGAATATTTCAAGAATCTCCTAAATCCCACCGATGTGCCATCCATGGAGCAAGTAGAGGTGGAAGTCTGAGAAATGGACTTGCTCAGCGGTAGGGCTCTGGGGATGGATGAGATTCACCCTGAGTTCTTGAAAACTCTTGATGTCGTGGGGCTGTCTTGGCTGACATGCCTCTTCAACATTGTGTGGACATTGGGGACAGTGCCTTTGGATTGGCTGCCTGCAGTGGTGGTCTCAATCTTTAAGAAAGGGGACCGCAGGATGTGTTCCAACTTTAGGGGGATCACACTCCTCAGCCTTCCTGGGAAGGTCTATGCAGGGTTACTGGAGAGGAGGGTCCAGGAGGAACAATGCGGTTTGCCATCAGGTCCCTTTACAAAAATGGAGCAAGAGTTTGGTTTGCATTGCCAACAGTAAGTCAGACTCGTTCCTGGTGGGTCTTGGACTCCACCAGGGCTGCCCACTGTCACCAATTCTGTTCACAATTTTTATGGACAGAATTTCTAGACGTAGCCAGGAGGCGGAGGGGGTCCGGGTCAGGGGCCTCAGGATTGCATCTTTGCTTTTTGCAGAAGATGTAGTCCTGTTGCTGTCATCGGGTTGTGACCTGCAGCATGTACTAGGGTGGTTTGTAGCTGTGTGTGAGGCAGCCAGGACGAGGATCAGCATCTCCAAGTCTGAGGCCATGGTTCTCGACCGGAAAAGGCTGGATTGCCATCTCCTGGTGGTTGGTGAGTTGCTGCCTCAAGCGGAGGAGTTTGAGTATCCTGGGGTCTTGTTCACGAGTGAGGGAAAAAGGGAGCGGGAGATTGGCAGACGGATCGGCGCAGTGTTGGCAATAATGCAGGCACTGTTACCATTCTGTTTTGGTGAAGAGGGAGCCGAGCCAAAATGCAAAGCTCTCAATTTACTGGTCGATCTACATTTCTACCCTCACCTCTGGCCATGAGCTCTGGGTAGTGACCGAAAGAATGAGATTGCAGATACAAGCGGCCAAAATGAGCTTCCTCAGCAGGGTGGCTGGGCTCAGCCTTGGAGATGAAGGGTGAGGAGCTCAGACATTCTGGAGGGGCTCAAAGTAGAGCTGCTGTTCCTCCGCCTCGAAAGGAGCCAGCTGAGGTTAGTCGGGCATCTGTCTAGGATGCCTCCTGGACGGCTCCCTGGGGAGGTGTTTTGGGCTTGTCCTACCAGGAGGAGGCCCCGGGGCAGACCCAGGACACATGGGAGAGATTATTTCTTCAACTGTATGTTGTTTTCAAACACTGTCCAAGGGAATTAGGTTAAAGTGGATTGGTTTCTCTAAATTGTAGGGGTATGTGTGTGAGACTGCGCCCTGGGCTTCCTTGGATCGGTTAAAGGGTCACCCTGTACTGAGAACGTGTTACGAGTAAGTGTAAATCTGCTTGCTCCTCTTTAATCGAGACCTGCACTTCTTGGAGCTGACCACTGGAGTGCAGAGTTAAATCGGTGAATTCAGAACATGCAGGCAAACTGTCACGTGACAGCATGGGATTCTCTGTGGGTTCGTCAAAGCAGATTAGCTGCTCTTTGAGAAGGTGCTGATTTTATGTGATTTAAACAGGTTCCACGTGTGAGTTCTCCCATCCCATCGTAAATCCCCTTAGGGTGCACCCTGTTCTTCTATGAAACGGATGGGCGCTCAGGGATCGACCACAACAGCATCCCGAAGCACGCAGCGTTTGTGGAAAACAGCATCGTTCAGGCCGTCCCGGAGCATCCCAAAAAGGACTTTGTGTTTTGCCTGAGCAACTCCCAGGGGGATGCTTTCCTTTTCCAGGTGAGGTTGCATTCACAGTATCACCAGTCAGTTCACTGTCCTGATGTGGGAGCACCTCCTTGTGACAGGTGGGGCATCACATTGCATTTAGCAGATGTATGTTTTTGCAAAAGTTGGGTCAGACAGGCCTTGATGCAATTGGCAGTTAGAGGCCTTAATAATGAAATATCTCTACAAACACTGAGACTTGAACCAGCAACCTTCCACTCATAAGCCTAGGGTCCTAACCCACTGAGCCATACAATGGAGCAGTGATTGGGAATGTTGACTTCCCAATGGCTGGGGCCTGTATTGTGAAGCAGGATTTTTTGCTTAGCCTGATAAAGTCTATTTGAACTGGAGTACCTTACATCCAACAAATTATCCAGCTAAGAAAGAAATCCTGCTTTGTCATTGCTGCTGGGCTCAGTGGGCTAATAGGAAGGCTGCAGGTTCCAAACCTGCCTTGTCATGCCTATGGGTTCTTGAGCAAAGCCTTTTTATCCCCACAATAGGTGGCTGCCTTTCACCTACAGAGAGTAAGCTGGGGGAGGCATAATGATCATTTCCACACGGGGATCAATAAAGTATCAATCATTATCATTATTATGCTTAAATTAATGGTTCTGACTTCAACAGCCCTCTTGCTGCTAAACCAGCAATTTCAGTCACAGCTTGATGTTTGCAGTTCATTTTATGTACTGTGTCAAGGGTAAAATAACAGGGTCTTTCCTCAAGCAGTTGTTACATGTCTGCATTTATAGTCAACATTGTTACTCGATGGCAGCCACTGGCTAGTGCCGGTGAAGCTTGACAGACTTTGCCGTCCCTCACAGACGTCGAGCCAGACAGAGCTGGAGAACTGGATGACGGCCATCCACTCTTCCTGTGCGGCGGCGCTGGCCCGGCAGCAGCGTTGGGACGACACCGTGCGCCTGCTGCGCTTCGAGATCCGCAAGCTGGAGCAGAAGATCGACATGGACGAGAAGATGAAGAAGATGGCTGACATGCAGCTCTCCACCGTCCCTGACAGCAAGAAGAGGAAGACCATCCTGGAGCAGGTAAAGTCGCCCTCAACACAGATCAAAAAGGGGCGCGATAGTTTGGTAAAATCATGCATCACAACGAATGAATGGAGATCCTTTGACAGAAATGCAACAGCGTAGGAGGGGGTTTGAGATTGGGGGAGGGGGCACAACTTAATTTATATTCAAAAGTCAGATTATTGGGAGGATGAATAAATCTAAATTAAATACTGGGGGGTACACATCCCCCCCAGGTTCTACACCATGGTAATGAAGATTTGAGACATGAAACATCTATGCTTGGTAGGGGGGGCTCGGTATAAATATAATTGTGGGTTTATAGGTTTGCTGCCTGCTAAAGCTGACTTTTAGGCAAGGAGTTGCGTAGTCTTTTTGTTGGGCTGCTATTATGGGCTGGAACAGGTCCGAGCTGAAAAAGTCCCTACAGTAGATGCACGCTGAGGTCCTCATTTTGTTTTGTTGAATGGGAGGGATTGTTCCTCTCCTCTCTAGATGTCCAGGAAGAGTGGGAGAGGCTATGAACCTGATGATGTGGTGGTGGTGGGGGGGGGGCAGATAAGCTCAATGCCTGGCAGTGCTGCTAACGTGGAGAAGGAGTCAAACTGAATACCACGGGGGCCTAAAACCACAATAACAAAAACAGCATTTTTTTTTCCTCGCTAATGAGCCCCATGATATCCTACTCGGCCTCATCTCCCTCAAGGGTCTTTGATGTCCACTCAAAACAAAAAAAATCTCTGCTAGCGAATAGCACCAGTGTTTCCCTCTGCATTGCTGCTCCCTTTTTCATCTTTTTTTGGTATCTGGCCAGATATTTCTGTGGGAGCAGAATCTGGAGAAGTTTCACATGGACCTATTCAGGTTCCGTTGTTACCTGGCCAGCCTGCAGGGCGGCGAGCCGCCCAATCCGAAGCGGCTGCTGGCGGTGGCCTCCCGCTCCACTAAAATAGCCATGGGACGCCTGGGGATCTTTTCAGTCTCCTCCTTCCATGCGCTGGTGAGTTTCTCTGTGAGAAATGCATCCTCTGCCATGATCTCCCTGGGTCACATGCCTCACCTACTGTATGGACACTTACCCTGTAAAGGGTTGCAGGGAGCCTATTCCTGGGAGTGCAGGGCACAAGACACCCTAGATCGGATGCCTGAATGGAACACACACACACACACACACACACACACACACCCATGTACCTATCTAAATGGGGACTGTCCATTCATTTGTATGGGAAAAACCCTAATCCAATCACGACACCCTTAACCTCTACTCATCCCTAACCGTAACCATAAGAATTAAACAAAAAAAAAATCCGAGACTTTTGGCATTTTTTTGGTATTTTTACTGCATTCACAGATCTTTGTGGGGACCAGAAAAGTAATAAAACAGGTTTTATTACATTATGAGGGGCATTTGGTCCCCACAATGTTATATAAACTTAATCCACACACACACACAATAGGTGATCAAAAGATGCCAGGTACCTTGTGAGAGGAAACAGGAGTACCCAGAAGAAAACCACAGGAACACAGGGAGAACTGGCAAATTCCACACAAGCATCACCTGGGGCAGGATCACAGAGACCCTGTTCTTCAGCAATAGCAGCAAGCTAATTTTATCCTGTGGACTTTGTTAATTTGGCATCCCGTTATTATGGTATCAGGGTTTGTGCTAACACAGGTTTGGCATGCGGTGGGAACTGTGAAGCTAGGAGTAATGCTGAAAACACCACTGGCTATTAATAGCCCTTAGCAACACACAGTCACACAACCAGCTCTTTATTTATAAAACTCAGAGTGATAATGCAATAGAAAGAAACACTAATAACAAAATTAGGTCCCAAAATGTTTTAACTTCAGAGAATCCTTTTTTTTTTCCCCTCACACGCACCTAGCTAAAAGCTGACATAATTTGTGAGGAACGGCACTTGAAAATATAACAAAGCGCTTGTTGTTTTGTTGTCCATAGCACTGGGGGGGGGGGGGGGGTCACTGAATTTGACATTGAACACAGAACCCTCTGGAAGCAGCTGATGCTGTTTTAACGCAGATTGCAGAACTGGCTAGCTGGTCCTGTTCTTGTTCCCGGCCTCCCACATAATCCTTAGCACAGGTGGGCGTCAGAATACGCCGCTATCAGAGTACCACGTCTAACAAGATCCCAAGGCTTCAGAAGAAGCGCACTTTGAAGGCAGCCCTTAAACTGGCTATTTATTCCTCTCCTTGCTCTGGTCTTTTAATAAGATCTCAAATGCTAAGTGCAACAACAACATCTTTTAATTTCTTAGATGTCATTAAAACTAGTTAAACCCATAGATGTTTAAGGGTTGGATTTTTCTAATATCGACACACACCTCCTGTTCTGGAATGATGGATGTTATTTGTACATTAGTGACTTTTCCTTTGAAAGCCTTATGTAAAAATATGAAAAGCGACAGTCATGTCGAACATATTTGATAATTTAACCGTCAATATACCCTGAGACTTGGTGGCACGATAGCTTAGAAGGTCGCACATATGCTTCACAGCTCAAGTGTGGAGGGGGTTGAATTTTGACCCTGTTCTGTGTGCTTGGATACATTCTTTCTGTGTTGTGTGGGTTTCCAGGTTTTTTCAGTATCCACAGTTTGAAAACATACTGTCAGGTGGACTGTTGTTTTTAAGTTGCCCGTGGTGATTGAATGTGTGCGCCCTGAAATGCACTGGCATACAACCAAGGATGTTCCCTTGCCTGTGTCCTGTGCCCCTTGGGATAGGCTCCAGGACCCCTGCAATCCCGTACTGGATAAGTGGAAGATGGATGGATATAGTGGGGCTGGGTGTTTTGTGGTCTAAACCAGGGCAGCCCATTCCTGCTCCTGGAGCTTAGGTGCAGCCCTAATTAACATAACTGGCTCTAACACTGAGATGCTACTGAAGGGCCTGATTATCTGTATCTGGTGTGTTAAATTAGAGCTGCACTTAAGCTCTGCAGGGTGATAGATCTCCAGGAGCAGAAACGAGCAGCCCTGGTCTAAACTATGACCCTGCATCTTAATAGGCTGCCTTCCTGGATCTGCATTCTGATCTTGTGACCCTGAACGCTTGAAAACTCACCCCAAGCTTTTGCATGCATATGCAGATGATAAAGGCACAGTGCCATGCACTTCCTGTCCCCTAGGTGGCAGCACGCACAGAGACTGGGGTGCGCCAACAGACAAAGGTCATGTCCCGGACATCAAGCAAGCACAAGAGCAGGTTCTCCTCGCTCTGGGGGCTGGACACCATGTCAAAAAAGAAGACAAAGGACCGGCCGAGTATCAGCCAGGTAGCCTACTTCATGTGGGACCAGCGGAGTATCAGCCAGGTAGCCTACTTCATGTGGGACCAGCGGAGTATCAGCCAGTTAGCCTACTTCATGTGGGACCAGCGGAGTATCAGCCAGTTAGCCTACTTCATGTGGGACCAGCGGAGTATCAGCCAGGTAGCCTACTTCATGTGGGACCAGCGGAGTATCAGCCAGGTAGCCTACTTCATGTGGGACCGGCCGAGTATCATCCAGGTAGCCTACTTCATGTGGGACCAGCGGAGTATCAGCCAGGTAGCCTACTTCATGTGGGACCGGCCGAGTATCAGCCAGGCCATTATAGATATTCTGTTACCCTCAGAACCTTTTTGACCTTTGTAACCTTGGTAACCAGAATGTCCCAGGTTAAAATGTCTGGAGGATCCAAGATGCAACCTTCATCCAGGCAGTGTACAATGAGCCATAGCTGTCTAACTTATTTAAATGTTAACATTTTGTTTTTGTTGACTACCATCCTTGTACCTTTTGCTTCCTCCATAGGATGCAGGATTCCCATCATTCTATACTGGATAATTGGTTGGGAGATGAATGGATGGATGAAACTGAGCTAAAGATTATATAATAAAGACTATTGTCTGATTTCTTACCAGTTTGACTGACAGACTGCAGCCTCTCACGTATGATCTTGCTGAATTACAGGTGTTTGCTGATGGCAGGGAGCTGGCAAAGGAGCTCCCGGATGGCACGCTGGTACTCGGCGCCAAGGAACGCGCGGTACGTGGCTACCATCTAGGCGCCGCGTCTGGGAAGGCAAACTGTCGTGAAAGCTGCTACCTTGTGGTGTGTGACTGTTTAGCATTTTCTGAGTGGATGAGCACGTGTACTTAGGCAGGGATTTGATTTCGCCACCCTGTCCACCACTTATTGGGTGGCTGGGGAGGGGGGGGGGGCACATTGGTGACCAAAATAATGAGTTTCAGGTCAGCAAGGAACCAGACATCCATGCATACCACAATGCAAAATGATGGATGTCTTGGCACTGTATGTCTGTGATACTGGCCCAGGGAGGCAGATGGTAGGCAGGGGGGGGGGGAAGCTGAAGGAGGGGGGGGGGGGGGGGAGGTGGGAGCAGCATGCTGATCCTATCGTCTGCTGCGGCGATGTGTGAGGAACGCACGGACAGGTGCTGCAGGCTGAGTGAGGTTTCTTACACCGCAATTATCTTCAGCAGGAGGATGTGGATCTTTTGTTTCTGGTGGAGAAGAGGTTTGAGTGTGTGTGTGTACGTGCCTGCATGTGTGTGGGAGGGAGGATGGATGTCGGAGACAGCAGGAGACGGCATGTGCAACCGAAGTTTGATGGACAGCAGATTACTAATCAGCAGGGAGAGTAAGGTGACATTGCTGAACTTGCACAGAGAAATTAGCGGTTCTCCCATGTGGCGAATGAAGTTTGGTCAGAGTGCATTGTGCTAATGAACAGCAGGGAAAGCTCACACACCTCCGTGGGTTAGTGGAGTGGGATGTGTCAGCATCATCTTGTACTTTTGCTCCATCAATTAGTGAGCCGAAGATCCAGAATTGCAGTGCTCTGAAGCACCAGCTCCCCAGTGCAAGGTTTTTGGGTTGATGTTTGATGCCACTGTTCTGAAGCTCATTTGTCGTTCATCAAAGCTTCCAAAGCTGCACTTCCTACTTTGGTAACAAATAGGCATATAAGAAAACCATAACCTGTAGTGATTTGAGGCTTAAATTCCTCCTTACTGGCAGTAGCCAGTTGAAGTCCTGTGATCACTGGAATTACAGGAGACCCAGACGATAACGGAATGTGACGCCAGACGTGGCCTGAACATTTCCTCACATCACTCTGTGCTTTCTGTTCCCTGTTGTGAAGTGTTTGAAGTCTGTGGGCGAAAGACTTTCACAGAGTTATTTTTTTAAAGAAGATGGAGATCGAAGGACCACCGAAGGACATTCCCAAGCACCTCACAGATGGAGATGTTTGGGACTCCAGCAGCCTCATACCTTCGTGGGTGAGTCTGCCCAGTGATCGGCCAGTGCTCGCCGTCATCCGGCCAGGGGAGTCCACGCTCCACGTCCTAGAGATCATCTGCAAGGTAAAACGTAACAGGTTTTTTATCACATTGTGGGGACATACACACACACACACACACACCGATGAGCTAAAAAATTATGACCAACCTCACGTCAAGTTCATAATGTTGACTATGTCATAAAATTGGTGTGTCTCAAGGTCTGGGATGTATTAGAGAGTAGGCTGACATTTAGTACTTGTAGTTGACATGTTGAATGCAGAAGAAACGGACAGGGGTAAAGATCTGAATAACTTTGGTAAGGGTCTAATCATTATGGTTAGACGGCTGGGACAGAGGATCTCCGAAACGGCAAGACTTGTTGGTGCTCAAGGTCCGCCGTGGTGAGTACTGACTGAGAGAGGACTGAGGAGGGGAAAAGCAGGACAAGGTGCAGGGTGTGGGATGTGAATGGAGGCTGTCCCGTCTGATACATACCAACAGAGGGGCTACTGTAGCACCAATGGCAGAAAATTCGGCCGACCTGTGAGCGGTTTAAAGTAATGAATGTCATAGGCCTATTCAATGATCAGGGATGTGGGAAAATAAAGGAAAACAATCATTTAAAACACTGAACGCTTCACCTTAACAAGCTAAAGGGAAACCTAAGCAATAAGCCTGTTGTACCTCTGGTCCAGGTGCGAATGTTCGCCCCCCTTTCCTCTCAGCTGCATCTCTCGCGCCCTGGCTGACCTTTCCGTCATACAGCAGCTCATCTCTCGGTTCATGCTGCCATCGACTACAAGCCTAAATAGGCTAATTTCCCATAACTAGCAGTGATAATCACTTTCTGTAGCCTAATGCCTGTAACTTCACAGATTGAACTTATCCCGCCTCTTCATTACTTCCTCCTTGTCCGGTACGTGTAACATTCTGATTACATCTAACATTCAGCTCATACGTAGTGAGCTTTACGCTGTCAGTGACACAGGGCTGCCTCTCAGCCCAGCCTCCCATTCAGTTCTTCATTTCTTCTTCATACATGACCTAACTCATCCAGATTGGTGGCTATATTCAATACGTTCACGTATAGCTAGAAAAGAAATGCAAACAATATTATTAGTAGCATTTTAAAAAATCAGTAAGGTGACTGTACACTATATTAAGCTACACAAAAACAACACTGAACCCCCATAAAGTTACATACATCTACCTTTGTATTGTGTGCTTTGTTTGAAAGGCATTGTATAGCTGCAGTACTGCTTACAAGGTGGACATTGATTGGAAGCTCAACCTAGTTGCACTTATGCATAATTGACTCCTTGACAGCCTTATGTCTATAATGTGTTATTTGACTACTTTGGACAAAGGCATTTGCTAAATAAAGTCAATTTAAACCACTAAGCATTTATTTGACCACATGGTTGGCTAATATCTGTGTTTTAGTCAGTACTAGACAAAGGTCTACTTTAAAATAAATAAAATTGTCATCAAATGACATTTTCAAGAACCCTCCGCTTACCCCATAAGGCTTCAAGAGAATGAAAAGGGGTTGTGAATGTGATGAAGGGCGTGCTCTCTGGTTTCATATCAAAATGCTCTATTCCCCGCTATTCTGAATTTCTGACTATAGAAGGGGATCATGGGGATTTGTTAAAGACCTTGTTTTAGAGCTGCGGTGTCTCGCTGAGCAGAGGCCGTGTCCTGCTGGGCCTGAATGAATGACAGCGACACCCAATCACACGGCGATTGTCGCAGGCTTCAGATGAGGGCCACGGATAATGGATTTCGCAGCCAGAGAGTTTCCGGAGATTGCCCGGGCAAGGTTCGAATCAGTGGCGGTTCTGTCATCATGCTCAAGTGTCATTGATTGCTGTGGCATGAATTACTTTAACTTTTAAAATCATAAGATAGAGTTAGAAACTTGCTGTAATGGCTATCGAATGTCGGATCAATTTTCTTTTTTTTTTCATGGTGTCATGGTGACATTTGTTTCATGGTGATTTGTCGTGAATCTGTGGGTCATTATCAGCCTTAGGTAGCTGAAACTTTAGCTACTTAATTGTCTCTGATACAGCAGGTCAGTTAGAGCTGGAGCCGCCATTTGATTGGCATGCTCCAGAAAGCTTTAACTGTAGATGAGGCATTTATAAGGAGAAAGTGACACATTAGCACAGATGTGTAATTGCCTCCCCATACCTGCCCCTGGCATCCATGTCTCTCTCCTTACCCTTCACTCATTGTGCTTTTTTCCTGCACCCTCGTCATTACTGTCATCGCAGCACATCATTAGAAAGCAAAATTGAGGCGCGTCATTGCAAAGTGAAACTGAGGCACATGATTGCAAAGCAAAATCGATGCACGGCATTGCAGAGCGAAATCCAGGCACATCATTATGAAGCAAAATCGAGGCGCGCCATTGCAAGGCAAAATCGAGGCGCGTCCTTACAAAGCAAAATCGAGGCGCGTCCTTACAAAGCAAAATCGAGGCGCGTCCTTACAAAGCAAAATCGAGGCGTGTCCTTACAAAGCAAAATCGAGGCGTGTCTTTACTAAGCAAGATTTCCTTTACTTCTGCTCTTAACTACTCATCACCTTTTATCCCTACAGTATATCTCTCATTTTTATTACGCATTTAAATTTGAATAGTGATATTCTAAAATATTTTACTTTATTGATTGCTAATGTGGTGTCTTGCATAAATTTACATTAGTCACATAGTGAACAAGGCACAACATAGATTAATTTTCATCTGGTTATAAATATGGACTTTCTGTAATCAGAGGCACATTAACACAGCTAGCAGCCCCGGGGGCTATTTGAGTTGCCAGAACCTCCCTGCTATTTTCTACGGTGGTGTAGCGAATGGCGCAGAAGCAAATGCAGGGCAACTGCTGTTCTTTAATTACTTTTTGCTCCTATGTTTTTCTTTTGGCAGTTCTACTTTCAAACCTTCTTGGACTAGACATAGTTATGCTTTTGTAAAATAAGAGACACTCTGACACATTTAGGTGGGTGTAGTCAATTAATTGATATTCGGAACCCATTGCATAAATCTGATCAGTCAACCAATCCACTGCCAAAAGCATTACAATTGACTGAATCAGTGGCAAATACCAACACTTATGTCATCATTAAACAAAGTCAGTTGAGGCCCCTTATTAGTGGAGGCCCCTGGGCATCAGCTTGGGTAAGCCTGTGTATTACAGCACAGCTGTCTGTAATGTAGCCTTCAATTCAGTAATATTTTGATTATGGCAAAGAAGATTGATTCAAAACAGGAATAAACTGAGAAGAAATTGTAGGTAGCATTTACGGATTAGGGGATTTCAGAATCCTTTGTGTTACCTAGACACCATTTCATTCCCTGCCTGTATACTATACTGCACCAAATGGTCGTTGATCTTGTTAGATCAAACTGTTTTTCAATAGTGTTTGGCATGAAAAAAGGTAAATTCTCAAAAGCCTTTATTTTCCACAGGCTCACCATCTGGACCCTAGCAAGCACTACCTGAGACTGAAGTTTTTAATTAATGAGCAAGTGCAATTCTACGTCCCCGAACCAGAAGAGGAACTGAAAGACCTAGTGAGTGAGAATGCCCACCCATTCTTGGCTCTTTTGAGTATCGATACTTTGCAAAGAAGTTGAAGAACATCTTCTAGAGGTAGACAGAGACATATGGTGTTTGGAATTGGCCACATTCGTGGAAAAAAAAGTTTCTTCTTCATGTAGGGTGAAATATTCCTGTCAGAAAATGCAGTCTTAATTTGCACTTAGTAATCTATACCCACTTGTACTAGCTAATGAGATTCAACAATATCATTTTTGTAGCAATACAAGGAGGTTCAGATCTGCTTGAGGATCACAAAAGTGATATCATTTTCTCGCCGCAACTCATACATGATTGGTTACGGTAAGATTTACGTGTATCCATTTTGTATTTTTGATTGCACAAAAAGTTTTCAATTTTAGGAGGAATTTTGCATCTACTAGTTCAAATTCTACACAATCAAAATTGCGCAACAGTGTACTTATATCATAATGTTAATATTATTGTCCTGCATTTGCCAGCTTCTTCAGTTAAAAGGTGATGGGAAAATTAGTTTATTCTTTTGCATTCTCGCTAACAGACAACTGACTGTTTATGCACGTCACGGTTCTCCTGTTCCAACAGGATTCTCCGTCTCCATGGTAGACGAGAACAACATGCAGAAGCTCTACGTCACCAGTGTAAAGGCAGGAAACTCAGCCTTTGCCAAAGGTTTTTACTGTTTTAACTGACCAGTCATGTTGTTTCCAGGATTAAAATCATCTGGACTTTAGCAAAGCCAGGGCTGTTGAGATGGGCTCTTTGAGATCAAGTTATGTAGGATTGTTGAATCTCCTGTTAACACTGTATCTATAAATTTCTGTGGCAACCTGAGAGACTTTTTTTTAGAATAGAGGTGAAAAAAAGGCCTTATTTTTGTGTTTTTTAGAACCTTCAGAATGGAAGCGTATAGCTCAATTTGGCATTTGGAGTGATACTAGCACAGGAAGTGCGAAAGTACTTTTCTCATAATAAATGTGTGCAAATCTACAGGTCTGGACACCTATAACACTCCATGTGGAAGCAGCCAAAAAACGTTCCAGAATAGAACCTCACATGTTTTCGAATTCACACCTCAATTCCATTGTCTGCTTCAGGACTGAGGGTTGGTGATGAGGTGCTGCAGATTAACGGCAGGGACCCAAGCTGTATGACCTTCTCAGAGATGAAGACGGTATTCTCCCAGGCCTCCCTGACTCTGACCGTCAGCACGCTGCCCACGGTGCATCGAAACCAGCTCTGCTACCTTCCGCCTCGGCATTCCGATGGAGTGAAAGACCTCCACACAGACATCTTCTCCCAGAATCAAGGTGATTTTTCAGTGGTGGGTGGAATCTGGGAACCTCAGTATAAACTTTGGTTGGAACCATTTTGGGAACTCTGGCTGTTAGTAGAATCGTAGTAGTATGATTTAGAATCTTTGTCTCGGGGGGGGGGCACTGTGGTTAGCATGGTTGCCGCACCCCGGAGACCAGGGTTCGAGTCTCCTCCCCAGCTCTGTGGGTGTGAGGTTTGCATGTCCTCCCCATGTTGTTGTGGGATTTTTTCTGAGTACTCGTGGTTTCCCCCCGCACCCTGAGGTTAATTGCCATTACCAAATTGCCAGATGTGTGTGACTGGGGTGTGAGTGGTCCTACGATGGGTTGCTGCCCCATCCTGAGTTGTTCCCTGGCTTGTTCCTGTAGCTTCTGGATGGGCTCCAGACCCCCTGTGACTCTGAATAGATCAAGCAGCTACAGAAGATGGATGGATAGTTTTTCACATAAATGACATCTGAAGCTAGACTACAAGGCGGACTTGATGAGAAATAGGAAGTAGTTTGGATGGTTTCATGAAATAAAATGCTTTATTATTTCATTTTGGTTTATTTATTTTGTTTATTTAATTTTACAGCTCGGAATACAATAAACTTACAAAGGAAAGGCATATTTTGAATGAGGACATATAGTAATGTATTATGTTGGAAGTGTTGTAAAGAACAAATATTTTGTAGCTGGTCTATATTAACTATTTAAAATTGTGTTGCCACAAACACTGGTTGTTGGAAAAATTTGTCCAGCAGCATAGCTTCATGTTTAGCATTCCTGTGTGTTTCATTTTTCTATCCTCCTGCGACCCGAGGAAAAAAGTGTCCTTTCAATTTTAGGTTATTTGTCTTTGGAGGAAATAAGACAACGTACAATTTAGATTTTTTTCAAATTAATTTTTATTTTTAATTTCACTTTCTCTTTAGTGTACAACAGGAATAAATACGTTTCCTTACATGAGTGAAAAGATAGATGAAAAAACAAAATGTCCATTACAATGGACTTATAGCCTCTCAGGAGGCTATAAGTCACTGTCTGTTATACTTCATGAAAGAAATATTTAGGTATTGATGAGTCATGAGCATCGTCTGTCTCCCTGCCCCCTTTTGCAGAGGACATCCTGGACAACGGGGTATATTTGGATTTGGGGAGCCCTTGTGATTGTATCCATGGCGATACTGAGAGCTTCAGTGATCTGATGGAAGGTCTGAAGGTAAATGTTAATGATAACTTTGTGGTTCGCTATGTCTCCGTGGTTAAGGAGTTGAAGTCAAGAGAAGAACACAGAGCCGATCAAACCTAAACCAATTCTCAATCATTCTGCAAATAGAAAAAAGGAAATACTTAAAAAAAATTCCGTAGCTTTTGGGTAGCAGTGTTTCTTGAACACAATAATTGAACCAACCATTAATAAGACCAGTAATAATAAAATGACATTAATCCCAGCATTTTATTCTGGTTAAGCTAAATATGTTTGCCTTGGTTCGACATATCTTGACATTCCTGATGTCCGTTTGCTGGACGTTACAGAGGGGTGTTCCTATAGATGAATCCTCATTAGAATTACCCTCACTGCCTTCGACTGACTCAATAATTATTCCCATCCTTTAGAAAGGCTTTCATTCTCAGCTTCATTATGTTCAACACATTAATTATATAAATTATAGCTTTATAGTTCCCAGAACCATAGCAGTGAGTTCAATGCTTGATTTATCTTAATTAAATTTTGAACTAATTTGCACTAATTTGTTTCGCTTGAGGGACACATATGAACTCATAACATTTTTAAGTGACATTTGCTTATAACAATCAAGTACACAGCAGTGCAATCTAACAGCTAAATTAAAAGTGATTAATTAGGACCGGAGGCTGGGAAACAACACGGATTGGACTGTTTAAAACTCAATTTTCAGCCAGTTCATAGCAAAACTCTCAGGACAGTTATTAATCCAAGGTTTCCATCCATCCATCTATCTATCTATCATCTATCTATCTATCTACCCATCCATCCATCCATCCATCCATCCAAAAGCTTATCCAGTTGAGGCTCCTGGTGACCCTAGAGCCTGTCCGAGGAAACATGAGGCTGGGGACACCATGGATGGGATGAGATGAGCACAATCACAAACGGCACGTCGCGCGCCTCCATGGATCAGACACTCACGTTGTGAAACTTTTCTCCATCTCTTAGCTCTGCCTCTTTAAACTCGACAAACATGCTCCTTGTGGAAAGGAGGTGTCACTCTGGTGGACGTTTCCTGTGGGACAGCACTGACCTTTGTTTGATGAGCTTATTGTGAGGATCTGCTCTGGGTGGTGAACGTGGACTCATGGAAGCTAACCCCAGGCTAACCAGGAGCCAAAGAGACCAGGGAGGTTGACTTGTCAGCTGGTTAAGATGCTTCGGCATAGACCAGCTCCATTAAGGAGCTCTGTGTTGTCTCCTTGTTCCCTGTGCTTTCAGTTTTTTTTTTTATTTTTTAAAGGACCAATAATCTTCCATCCACTTTGCCTCTGGGTCATTCTTCCAGCTCACCAACATGGATCCTTGTGTTTGCATCATTTATCCCACTGTTCTGTTTATGCTTGTAGCAGTTTGCAGCCACCCCAGTTCGACCGTGACCTATTTCTCAATGACTGTCAGGGGGGAAAGTGTCACAGTTCCAGGCACTCGGAAATGGGCTTATTTTTTGGAGGAATGGATAGTAGTTTTATTTTTCATATGTTCTGGGATGTCCTGGCTGCAGGAGTCTTGTGGACAGACGGCTGTGAACGCCAGTGTGGCACACGTTTGATGTTAATGGAAGTGATGGCAAAGGAAGGATGTTTGTTTAGATGCTCGTGAGTCTGCTGAAGATAAATGGACCGGAGATGGACAGATGACAGACGGCTCATTTAAATATTCTCGCTTCTAAATTGCAGGGTTGCTTGAGATGATTAGAAACTTTCGAAGGGCCTGTTCTATTATTAGCATGAAGCATGATAACTGTGCTCCAACCGAAGAAGTTTCAAGTCTGAAATGCTGGCTTGGCCAGTTTGTGGCACCTTGATTCTTTTTATTAAAGTTTGAAGTGATAAATAATGCAGGGACACTTTGCACTACAGCAAATGTCAGCACAAGCGGAGCCGATGACAGATTCCTCAGTATTTGGGACTGAAGTGGTGAGAGAGACAGAGGGAGGGACCCCCACGGTGGCCGTGTGTCGTTAGGCTTCCTGGAGTCGCGTCGTCCCTGGCAGGGACAGGGCTGCCATGCCCCCCGCGATCCCGACCCCCCCGCGATCCCGACCCCGGGTCCAGTCCCTCTAACTCGAGTTGCACTGCCAGGAGGCTCGGCGCGGCTGACACTGAGCCAGAACCTTCTGCGAAACGTTTGATCAGCCTGAGAGCCGGAAGAGTCTGAGAGATTTCCACAGGAAAAAAAAAAACCTGCTATGAAAATGCTCACAGCTCCTCTTTTGATAATGAATTTCCATCCCTGGTGGCCAAACTCAGGAACCCAAGGGAATAAACCAGCAGACTTCATGAACAGAGTGAGTTCAGTGTCTCACACACTCAGTAAGATAGGAGCCAGGAGCCAGGCTGTGGCAGGTCGATACCGTCCCTGCCTATCTCAGTCACCGCTGGGGTGGTCTGCCATGTTGGTGTGTGTGCGTGTGTGTATGTGTGTAGGTGTGTGTATATGTGCATGTGTAGGTGTGTGTGTGTATGTGTGTAGGTGTGTGTGTGATTCTAATTAATGCTGAATAGCAAACCAAATAGTTACATACAGTCTTAAGGAGCTTACGTTCCTGGCATCCATCTTGTGAAGGCAGGCCAACTAAATCCGAACCCAGAATTTTAAACTGCAAACTGCTTGATGCCTGTCTTTGGATACCCATGATGGTTAATTTTACATCGTAAGCTGAATGCGGTTTAGATAGATTGATTTATTAATCCAAAAGTGATACAATACACACAGTTTCAAAACATTCAGACATTCATAAACAATAAAAATAAATGATAGGCACCTATAAACAGTAACAGTGTAAGGAATGTCGGGGAAAGTGTAGGTGCAGTGCAGTGAACGAAGCGGTTCCGGTCCATTCTGGTCCTGCCCCCCACCATAGGGTGACTTTTTGTAGAGTGGTGTTTCTCAACCGGCCCCCCTAGAGGCTCCATGTTTTTGCTTCCTCCCAGCTCCCTGCCAAATAGTCCATAGCTAAGCAAAAAACGTGGACAGTCTGAGGCCCCCGAGGACCGAGCTGAGAAACACTGTTGTAGGGTTATGGCAGAAGGTAGGAATGACCTTAAAGATTTTATGCAGTGAACATGTGAGGTTTGTACATTTGGTCGACATGTAGATGTTTTACGGGCTCGTGGAAATGATGGCATGACTGCAGGCACACATTACAGGTATGCATATTCCCCTTTTCATTCCAAATACGATATAGATGCTGCGTTTAGCATTTTTTACTCTGTTATTAGTTCTTTCCCCTCTTGTCTGCTCTCAATCAGCCTGTGTTCATGTGTCTTTTCCCAGTTTGTGATCCATTGATTGATTCTCAGGCTTATCTTGGCATTTTTGGCCAGTTATTTTCAGTAGCACCGATTTCTTTTGTCTGTTTCCCTTGCTGTTACTGTATGTTTGTAGTACTTCTGTTTCTTTTCAGTGAGTCATTCTGTTTGTGCTATAAAGCCGGTCCAGCCAGACTTCTCCCGCCACCACATTCGCTTGACGTTTGGAGCCAGTTGCTATAATGTCGAGCCGTCATTTTTACAACCTTTCCCAAGTGTTTTATATGCTGTTAACTTCCTGGGTGTGCGGGACATCCTCAGTCTAGTGAATATACTATACAGGTGCCCCCTAATCAGCCTGTCTCCTTTCATCTCTTTGTTTATAGTGTAGATAGAAAAAAATGCAAATGAAGCCTTTGATATTGAAACATTCTGATGAATAGGGACAAGATTTTAAGAGAATGAAGAGAGGACTAATTATCTGAAAATCATTCCTAATTATCTGTTGTGTAACGAAAAACGAAATAATTACAACAAAGTAGTTATAATAACTGTCCCATTGTATCACACCTACATTTCATTTGTTTGAGCAATTTGGTGCTTATAACCAGTGGGTGTTTTTTCTGGTCTGGTAGAGCAGGGCATTAGGGGCCAGCAAATTGAATGTTTGTGGTGAGGCATGTCCCCCCCCCAGGCTCTATGGGGGCCTGTGGGTTATTCTTAATCTCTCAGCCATGGCTCAGGTAATTCTAATATCCTGACACAGCTTCTTCGTAATGACGAGGGCATTTGCAGTGGGGTAGCAGGGCATTTCTGAGGCTGTTTGGGGGGTAGCAGTGTGCGTGTTGATGGACAGCCACCCGCTTAAATGTCACGGCTGCCCCCGTATGTAACATCTACTCTGCTCCTGATTCTCCCGCTTTACCCTGATTTCCTCCTGCACAAGAGCATCTATCCCATTCTCCTAATGTTCCTCTCTTCTGCAGCCCCCCCACCAACCTGCTGCATTTAAATTGCACTGCGGAGTGCCTTGCCAGCCAGTCCTACTCGCCGGCAGCCGGGGAGAGGAGGCAGCCTCCTCCCCTCACGCGTTCGCCCTCCGCTCCTCTCCTCCTTGTGGCGACGGCGTCCGTCACTCCCTGTTTGCGGCGCCGCCGGATGCAGACGGGCTTAGACGGGGTCTTCTGGGGAGAAACGGAGAAAAGGAGAACGGGGACCCGGAGCCGCTGTTGAGGCAGGACCTGAGTGGAACCATGTGGCGGGTTACCGCGGCGGTGTAGCGGGTGAGAGGAAGCAGGTTGGTGCCCGATTGCGGCCATGGCAGCACTAAGGAGGAGTCGCCACGCCAAGCGCTCGTCGGAGTCCATCTATGACATGCTGCACCTGGTGAGGGCGCTGACGTCCAGCCGCGCGTCCTCAAGGTGACGGGCTGGGGCCCCCAGGGGCCACCTGGCCCTCCCCCTTTTCGTCTTGCACCCTGAGCTCAGCTTCTTAGGGGAAGCTGTCGCTCTCCTGGACTCTCCAGAGGATGCAGAAGAGTCAGGACGGGGGGGAGGGGCAGGGGACCTGTACTTACAGGAGGTCGGGTGCGAGGTTTGGAGGGCAGCGGGGTGGTGGGTGGGGCTGGAATCGAGACCCCAGTGAGGGGAGATTCAGGAACTGTGGTGCTTGTAAGTGCCATCAAAACATTTCTTTCTCTGTTTGTGTGGCTGGAACTGGGATAGAGAAAATTAGACTTGAAATGGGGGGGTGTTGTACTTTTGATCTGTTTAGATATTGCTTTAAATGAAACTAAAAGCTAGTAGCATAGCAGCCTTTGAAATTGTCGAGCTTTTCATTTTTAACCTCACCCGGGACTTTCAGCTTCTTGTATTTTATTAATTTATTAAATAGTTTTTATATTGAATAAATTATCTAATAACATTAGATGTGGTATGTACATTATAAATGAATGTATTCGATCACTTTTGTCTCTTCGTGAGGGACCAATTGCACAGGTTCCAGTGCACAATTGTTTGGACTCTCTTCTGCTGTCTGTTGAGTGCATTTTTTAGAAAATGAATCTGCGCACAGAGAGGAGAACAGCAGGTGTCTCACATGTAGAAAAACCACCAGGAAGCTCTCCATTGGAGATCAGAGCAGGATTACATAACTCCTCACGCACCTAACACTGCCTCTTGCTTTGTGTGTGTGTATCAGGAAGAGGGGCACATTATGGAGAAGCAGAACGGATCTTTCATTATCCTCCCTATCCTTGTTTTAAAAGGTCTTTAAAAGAGGTTTCGGTAACACTTTACATTAACGGCACCTTCTTATTGCCTTAATCATGCATTCGTGGAGCATTCAGTGCACCTTCATAATGCATTCATAGAACATTCATAAGTAGCAAGTAAGTATACCGTAACATCCTAACATACCTTAACAGCTTTAATATAATATTAATAAGAAACCTTATATGATTATACACATTTTATGTTTGTTTTTATGATATCATGTTTGTTAATATGAAGGTCCACTGAATGTTCTATGAATGCACTATGAAGGCACAGTTAATGTGAAGCGTTACCGAGGTTTCTTCACTATACTGCAGAAAGCAGTGTGTTTGGGGGTGGGGGGGGGGGTTAGGGGTTATGTGCTCTGCTGTGTTTCTCCAGGTGTCGTGTGTCACATTCTGCATAGGAATAGTGAAGCTGGATGGGGTGTCATGTAACTCTGCTGAGCGGCTCTAAACTGAGAGCCGCCAGATTGATTCCCTCATATTTCTGGACCCCCTTGCTGGTTTGGCCGTGGGAGGTTTGCCTGGGATTCCTCTCCCAAGGTTTGACTCACCTTCATACTTTGGCTGTCAGCTGCGTCACTCTAACCACATGTAACCTGCTTGATGATTCTCTTGTTGGATGCCTGCTGAAGACTCTGCTGGGGCTGACGAGCTCCGCTTCCTGTATCCCCCCCCCTGCACCTATGCTTGGCTGCTGATTAGCTTTGGGAGACTCTGCAGGTGTGTTGGTCGCTCCTCTAACAGAAAACTGCACCCTGGATCAATGCTGGGCTCCCGCCTTCCCCAGTACCACAGGCACCTGTCTCTGGTGCTTATTCTGGGTTTATATAAACATATCTGACCCTCTGCTCTCTCCTCATCCGCATCGTTGAGCCCCTTGAACACGGCGTTCTTGTCATTTGTAGTGCTCCTTCCCCTATGCTTCATCTGTCCTCCATCTTACACTAGATGTTTTTATTCCCTGTATTTGTCCGTCCATATTTGTTGGCACACTGTACTCGTGTTTCTGTGTTTCTGACATGTTTATCTCGTGTTTGACGTGCTCATCCTCATGCTTCTACATGTTTACGTCTGTGTGTTTGATATGATCATCACTGCATATTCCATGTGCTCTTCCCCATATGTGTGACTTGCTGGTCCTCGCATGTGTGACATGTTCAACCCAGTTTTTCTCTGTTGTGATTAACCCTGAGAAAAAAAAAAAGATGTTCATCTCTGTTGTTTTGTACGCCGGTCACTGTGCTTTTGACGTGATGACCCTGATGTTCATGCACTCCTCTCTATGTTCTTCATGTGATTATGCCGGGGCTATTCAGCGTGATCATCCTCATGCACTTCATCTGCTCCTTTCTGCATTTGACATGCTGCTCCCGCGTAATTAATATGCTTCCCCATGTGTATCTGATGAATTTGTGCATCTAATGCGGCTGCATATCAAATGGTGCAGCAGGGGCTGCCAGCTTTCCCCCTTCTGCCCTCTGTAGTCGTAGGAC